GAAAGCCGCTGGGAAGTGAGCGAACGGCTCCGAAGTGGGCGTGATTGGAAGTCGGCCGAAGGGATTGCAGCCGACTCAGCAACCACGCACTTCGAAGCCGTTCAGCTCCATTCCTTTTTCAAGTTGAGTTTTTTGTTCAGTCACTTCTTATGTTCTTGACTAGGGCTAGCGCATCGCTCCACACCATAAATGTTGAGACGAGTTGCTTAAGATGTCGAGTCGAGACTCTGGCGATTTGCATCGGCGCGATTGCTAGATAATGCAATCGCAGAGTCTGACCGACATCTAAGTGGTGCCCATTCGTGAACCGTAGCTATATAAATGTTCGTGGCAGGATATGATGAACGCACAATCTGAATCACAGAAGCGCTATGAAACCACGAACCCCACCACGACACGTCATGAGCTGCGGTTAGCACTAACCGACGCGCTCATGCTGTCCTTCGGCCTGGACGGAAGAGTTAATCCCTCAAAAATTGTCCCGAGAAGTTCTGCCTCAAAAAAGCGTTGCAATGCAAACGAACAGGAAAGCAAAAAATTAAGACTCCTCCCCGCTCTCCGAAGAGAAGCTTACATCAAGCAGCATCTGTCTGGTTCAAATCGCAACTTCAGCGCATTTAAAATTACGATGAAGCAACCGGGACGGTTGCAGTACATTTCGCGAACACGCAAACGGCACACCTTGCTGTGTCCGTAAAATAGTGATTAACCATTTACAATTACACATAACCAACCAAATTCCATTTAAGAATAAGGTTTGTCATGACTTTTTTGCAAGTGCAAAGAAGGAGCTAGTCTGGACCTTTCAAGAATCGAAAAAGAGAACGAAAAGAAGTTAAAATTACAAAAACTACCGAAAGGTATCAGTACTTGTTGCGGTTTGGAACCACAAAGCGATTATCCTCAAGAAGGGTGAATCATGTTTATAGGGCGAACAATGACAAACAAAACAAATATTCGGAAGAGCACATAAGAAGTTCAACTTCTATCGTAACAAAGCAGTAACGTAGAGAAACACAGGGAGTGTACAAACAAACATTTTAGAACATACACTCTCATCACCTTATACACAGTGTACTTTCACTTCTCAAGTGGATGGTAATTCAGGAGCTTCTCTATCAAGTCGACGTGAGACAGCAACATTCGGCGGCAACAGTATCGGCGCAAATTCAAGGCGTCAAGAGCATCACCTAAACCGTCAGACTTAACAGCGGAGAGCGAAATAGATGTAACCATAAGAATAAGTGAATTTATATTCTTTCTTAAAAACGAGTTTGGCCTGACCCATCCATATTAATTGAACTGCCTCGAGAATGACAGAATGATTGTCGTCCTAGAACTAAATCGATCCCTGCCAGATGGCTCTCTCTAGCAACAGCTGCGAACAGCTATAGGTCTGATCACTGTCGCCGTACTTACTTTGCTGTACGTCGTGTACGACCAAAAAAGAGCAGTGCTTTAAAATCTTGATAATCCACCTTCACGAGCGTTCTTTTTTGATTTTCTTGTGTGTGGTTCGTCAACCTTCGAGTAACTTTACGCCGGCCACTCCATTCCAACTTGTCGCATTACGGCTCATTTACCGTACTATGAACGTCATATTTAATTCGTATTATCAATTTCAAAGGAAGCAAAACAACGAAAAGCTTTCAGCTACACTACCATGGCTCTGAGAGAAAGCTTGACAATATTTCAATATAACAAAGTATCCTTAAAAATAAAGGACGCGTATATCACAAAACTGTAATCACCTTCTGTATATTCTGCTTGTAGAAGACCGAGGTAAGCCTCCACTTGTTACCGATCACTTTCCACATGTGTGAAGCAGCGAATTGGAATAATCATTGCTCACTGAATTCAACATATTACAAACGACGCTTCGAATTGCAGACAATGAAAGGAGAGCGGTATCTAGCGATGACACGCAGAAACAAGAACGCAAGCTCTGTGCAAAAGAATTTATTGCAAAAATGAGATATACAGCACACGTCGGCCGATAAGTAACAATCACGTCCACCAGTATATGTTAACAAGAAGACAAGTAACGAGCAGAAAATGGAGCTGGCCACAGTTACGCTAGGTGAAGCATCGCACTGACGATCAGAATATATCACTGGAACCAATTTGGCAGCGGCAGTGAAGGGAAATTCACAGTCTCGAACACGCATTAACAAGCGGTACCTAAGGGGTCATACATTGCGACCGCCTTGCAGTTTCAGTGGGCAATAGGTCCGAGCTCAAACTACATATGAGACGGCCCACAAGTTGACCACCCTAACTCACGAATACACGAGAAAGACAACAAATTGTAGGAAGAAGAGATGTGGTTGTGAATAATATGGACGAGAAGTATTCAATCTCTATAACAACAAGAGGAAATCAATACCGGATATCACAGGACGAAGACATAGAATAACAACAAATTAAACGAAACGTAGTGTCCAGAGCTTTCCACAGAAGTCGTAACCTTTCTAGATAATGGCTCGTATGCGCTCAGTCTTTTACCAATCGGGGAACCAAATTCTTCAACGAAGTGTCGGTCTGAGCCTCGCTCACACGTATGATCATCCGCTGGTCTCTAATAATGTCACCCCAGAGATAGCTTCGACAGCAACTGAAGTGAAGCACTATAAGCTAGCAATAGGTGCACAACGAAATGACACATGTAAAACTAAAACCGAATCTTTGTAGTGTTCACCTAGGACAATATCCCTTGCACAGGATATAGCCGTCGCTCGTTATTGAAGCTCTTCACGGCTAAACATTTAGCGTGAAAATGTGCAGCGCAAGAAAGGCATCGAACTAGTTGCGTGAGCTGAATATTGCCATATTATAAGTAATGAAATTAAAGTGGCGTTGTGTCCGGAAATGATCCAGCGAACCTTTTCAATATTGTCACCACAAAGACGACACTCTCCTTTTTCAACGTAGGCATCTTTTGCCGGTAATATTTCTGTGCACGACTTCTCTATCAACCCATACTTTTTGAGCACATGATTGGGCGGAGGAACTTCTGACGGAAACGGCAATTCCTCCTCCTAAAATCTAACACTGTGGTTTCGGTAAAGGATTATGCCCATCAAACGGGATAACTCATACGAAACTGAAATCATTACCGGCAGCAACCACCGAAAGGTGAGCGCAAAGTGATTCCAAGGCCGACTATTCATCAAATGGCACGCAATTCGTAGCCTGAAATATACAGTATGTGAATCTAGGAGTCCAGGCTTAAGGTTTATCGGATTACCTATCCAAAATCTTACTTTACTCTATGAACAGCAGAGATTGTATAACAGATGTTACAGGTTAACTTCTGCTTATGCGCCTCGTTGAAATAACACTTTGCTTATAAAATAGCCTTCACTAAGCTAAGAACTTCAGCATATATGTGAATAAAGCTTACCTATAAGCGAACGGTGTTTCCTTTCTCGCTTTCTTCAACGCAAGACCTTTGAATGACTCGGGACTTCTCAGGATTCTGCCATGCCCATTCAAAACGCAACGCTGCTACACTATTCGGAAAACCATGGATAATACAAACCATATCCCTAAGAACATATCCTCCATTATGTAGGCACAATATTCCTATCAAATGCTTACCATGGCCCCCTATTGTCTGTTTTCTTAGCGCCTCCTTTCTCTCGTCCACCGTTGTGTTGCCGAATCCGTCGATTCGGGTCTACCGTGTAGCCGATGTAGCAACGATTCCAAAATTGCAAAAGTGATGACAATTGACAGACATGTGCAAGAATCTTCTGAGTGTACCTTATAATACGCCAGCTGACTTCGGCTAATAAGACAATATACACCGAAGAACTCATCCGGGACGGTTTTAGTTGCCTTCGCTCTCTTATTCTTCTGTGGGCTAATCAACGCCTTTGCCTGAGTTGACTGGATCACATCGTCGATGTCAAAAAATGATCACTAGTTTAGAATCGATGAAACGATCAGTTCAGCATTCACAAAACCAAGCTGCATTTCAGGCTTTTTTTAATAGGTGTTAGGATCAAGTTAAAAATTAGTGCCAGCGAACATCAATCGAGATATTTAACTAGGTAAAAAAGCGCTGAAAGTCTGAGAAAAAGAAACTAAACAGATACCTTCTCTCAACTCCGACTGAGGAAGTGGTTGTGAAAGTGATCGACGCGAGAGGTTACTCACACCAAACGAAAAACGCTTTCCTGTGTCATTTTCAAACGATTTTGGAATTCCATCAATTGGAGGCGCTGTCTTAAGCAGTCAATGAGTACGTAGTACCTGTCGCCAATAGAGACTGAGGTTACTCACCGGAGCTTCATAGGAAGATTGGTCTAACACGATTATGCCGCTGCAATTCATCAGAAGCTCTATAAAGGGTAGAATGGTAGCCAAAATCCCATAACACCTAAATATCCTTTGCCGTTTAGGTAGCCATTCGTTAACAATTTGGCTACCACATATGGAGCAAGACTCCAAAAGATCGAGATTCGAGATATCCGGTATAAAGGCCGTAAACCTCTACATTTGTAGTAAAACCTTGAAAACTGCAGTATCAGCTTATCTTCATGTAGCATTTCATAACGAAATCAAACATGCAATTACAAACAACCAACAACGTGGTAATAAATACTATATGTGCTTACCGAGTATCAGCATTAACACGTAATGAATGAATGAATATGGTATCAACAACAATCAAGACAAACAATCTACACAAAAATACGACCCGCAGACTAGTAAGGATCAATGGGAGAGTTGAGCTACTTTTTCGAAAC